GATAATGTAGGGGACTACTATAGGGCTTATGAAGGGGGATACTAGGAGTTTAGACTATAGCTCATATAAGAATGGATCTGCTTCCTGTGAAGCTAAAATTGTCACTGCCTAACCAAGAGCTGAATTGAAGTAGAAAATCAGCAATCCAAACACACTTTTCTGCTGATTGAAGCTCAAGCAGTAGCATAAGAGCAGTAGGTTTCAAGAAATCCGCTTCGATATTGCATCCTATACTACACCCCGTCCTTGTCCCCGCCTCCAAAATGGACCCTAGCTGAGGCTTAATCGGGTTGGAGTAGTCAGGGGGGAGGTAGTAACTATGGGATCCCGTAACTAAACCCCAAACCCAATATAGTCCCCCTTAGGTAGAAAAAAGTTATGAGGTATATAGGGACCTTATTTTAATATACCCAAAGCCATATTCTATCTACTTAAGCAGGACTATATCCTTAAACCGCAAGCCCTTAAAGCTGAAGTTGGAGGTTCCACGGCCGACCACGACCAAGTTCGCCATGGTGCCACAGGTTCGGGGTTTAGGTTTTAGGTTTTAGGGTTTAGGAGTTCGTATCTCTGCTTGGATTTCCACACTTCGCGGTCCCCTTTAGTGGGGTAGATAAAGATCTCACAAGGATCGTGTTAAGAATGCATGTCTGTTTTAGCTTAGCGTACTTAGGTTGTGATAATCAGTAGCGGTTTGTTTTTTGTTGTGTCCTCCTAGTCGGGATGGTATTTTGTTGGGGTGAATAATGGGAATCTCACTTTTTGAAGCTGTCTGTACCAAACATGAGGTGCCATTCACTTTTGCGCCTCATTTTCTATGTACAGTTTGCTCTGAACATCTTGCTGAATGTGTATTCGAAGCCCTAAACCCTAAACCCTAGGCCCTAAGCCCTAAACCCTTATCCCTAGATCCGCCAAGAGGACCAGAAGTTAAGACCATAGGCCCTGCGTTGGTGCTGACGTTTTCGAAGATCAGGGGTTTGTTTCAAGGGGTTCAGGGTTTAGCGTTTCGGGATTGCGGTGTAGGGTTTAATGATCAGGGTTAGGGTCTAGGGTGTAAGGTTTAGGGATAAGGGTTTAGGGATAAGGGTTCAGGGTTTAGGATTAGGGTTTAGGATTAGGGATAGGGTTTAGGGATTAGGGTTTAGGGATTAGGGATTGGGGGCTTGGGATGGAATCCGATATTCACCTGACACTCCTGGGGACCCTGTCTCTGTGAGAGCACTGCCAAGGCAGAGGTGCTGTGCTTGTTACGGGGTTGAGGGTTTGGGATTAGGGTTCAGGGTTTAGGGTTTTGGTTTTGGGGTTTAGGAAAGCACAAAGAACAAGCCAAACCTGCGGAACTTTCCACGTGTGAGTTCAAGCCTGTATGCCCCTGGGGTGCCAAAACTTTAGACAAGTGCCTCCTAAGAGCACGCTAAGCCCAAGTCTTATAGATATGTGTGTATATATATTCATGCATACATACAAACACACCTGCTTTATGAACTTGACACAGCTGCGGCCAGTGTGTGCCCTACGCACTGTCCTGGGGCTACGCCGGCATCTGCGCTGCGGGTAACGACCGCATGGTGCGCTTTTGGGACTCCGAGGCCGGATGTCGGGTTACCAAGGGGTTTAGCGTTTCAGGGTTTAGGGTTTAGGGTTTAGGGCGTTGTATAGGGTTCTCTAGGCTTGCAGGATTATCAAGGGTTAGGTAGGGGTTCTATAGGGTTCTACAGGGATCATATAGGGATTACATATACAGACCATATAGGGTTATATAGCATTATATAGGGTTGTAGAGGGTTTCGTAGGGTTAGGGGTTATATAGGGCTGTATGGAATTATAGCGGGTGTAGGGTGGTATTACCCACAATAATGGAGAATCAATTTAAAAAGGAAACGGAAACGATCTCTACACAGTTGATAGTGCCCAAGTTTCTGTAACATTAAACCCTAAACACGGAACCCCCTGAACTCTTAGGGCTTAGGGTGTGTTATAACATCTACGTGGGAGGGCTCCTCAAGGTAGGAGACCCTCAGGAACCCCAACGCCATACATTGTTGGGATGATCAGGGGACTATGGGCATCCCTGTCCTAAACCCTAAACCCTAAACATCCCTGTTAAAGCCTATTCACAGGGAGTATTGTTGAGAGACTCCCAGAGTGCATCCCAACTTGCTGAGTTTCAGCCTGAAGCAGGGCCGAGGTGAAGGTTCATGGGAATTAATGTAGACCCCTTTTATAGGGTTTAGGGTTTAGGGTTAAGGGGTTTAGGGTTTAGGGGTTTAGGGTTTGGGGTTTAGGGTTAGACCCCTTCTTGATGACAATGGAAGCTGCTAGAAAGTATATTGGGGTCATCTGGGGATAGTGGAAAAGAAAATGGAAACTACTCTACTGGGTCATATAGAGTTTCAGATGATGTAGACCCCTTTTTAATAAACCCTTCCCCTTCATAGGGATTAGACTCTTTAAAGGAGGGTTTTTTTAAATCATGGGTCTACACTAGTACCTACACATGTATCATTTGGCAAAAAAACTTGAGGTTACCCCAAGTAGCTAAGGCAACAAGCCTGGCTATAAGTCCTCCCTTAGTCCCTAAACCCTAAACCCTAAACCTCCGCGGAGTCTGCATCATATTGGCACTGCACCTCGTGGATTTTCAGTTTGGCATGTAAGCTTATACAACTCCCATTTGAGCTATAGTCTAAACTCCTTACAGGGGGAAATATAGGGGATTATATAGGGGAACATTATAGGGCTTATTAAGGGGGATACTAGGATAGGAGTTTAGACTATAGCTCATTTAATATACTGAAGCCCGAACTCTACATAGATGATCCCAATATAGTCACTATATAACCCTTGCATAACCCCTAAACCCTAAACTCGAAGCCTCAATCCTAAACCCTAAACCCTAAGCCCTAACCCTAAACCCTAAACCCTAAACCCTAAGCCCTAAACCATAGATCCTTAGCCCTAAACCTCAAACCCCAAACCCTAAACCCTAAACCCTGGGCCAGGGTCGAGAAGGGCAGACCTTCGACTACAGCGGTGATCCCAAGATCAAGGAGTGAAGCCGCTTGAGAGTGTGTATTAGGTACCCAGTAGGATGTAGGGTTTTGGGTTTGGGATTTAGGATGTAGGGTGTAAGGTTTAGGATTCAGGGTTTAGGATATCGGGTTCAAGGTTTAGGGGGTTAGTTTAGGATATAGGGTTTAAGGTTTAGGATCTAGGGTTTAGGATTTCAGGTTTAGGGTTTAGGGGGTCTAGCTTGAGGTACCCAGGAGATATTGGATTGCAAGTTCTGCAGTGAGCATGCCGGCAGGAATTCACAGTGGCGGCCTTCAATCCGTCCGGCGAGTCGGTCGTGTTGGGAAATTACAATCGCTTCTTAGCCAAGAGCTCAGAACTACTCTCGGTGGAAGGAGTTATGCAGCACCCCACATACCCTACAGCACGGTATAGCCCAGGGATTCCGCTAGTATGATGGGGACCCTAGGTGGTGCAAGATTTCCCTCATCCAAATACTTGGCCTTTGCTGCTGGCCCTGGCCCCGAGGTCTTTGCCTGGCACCCAAAGAGGAGCGAGTGGGCAGAAGTTGTACAGCGTGAGGCAAGGCGATCTGCGTGTTTTTTTGTTTGGGAGTCCCATGGATACGGCTCATAATCTGTTGGAGGTGTTTTTTAAATGCATCTGTATGTGATTGTATATGCATATGTAGAGGAGTAAGGGGAGCCCTGCAAGTCGCTCCGGCAGAGTTGGTCTTTGCTTGCCTGTATTGCAGGTGCCAAACCTCTACACTGTCACGGCACTTTCCTGGCGAGCAGACGGGTCTCGACTAATCGTGGGATCTCTCTGCGGTGGCGTGGATATGTTCGATGTGTGCATTCGGCGATCGCGTGCGGCGCTGAGTCTGTGCTCTTGGGGTGGTCAACCCTAAAACGCATCCACTTTCAAAGCCCCAAGCTAGAGCCTGAGCCTTTGATATCTCAGGTTATCGGGACTCGCACGAGTTCACCTACGTTTCCCTTAGCCAAGTCATCGTCAAGAGCTTGCGCTCTGGTGCTCGCATAGTGCTCAAGAGCAATGTTGGCTTTGAGATCAAGAAGATCAACATCTTCCAGGCCTGCGGAGCGAAGTTTTAGGGTTATATTGGGGTTTAGGGTTTAGGGTAGGGTTTAGGGTTTAGGGTTTAGGGTTGTTATATTGGGATAATGGAAAATACAATGGAAACTACTATAATGGAGAATCAAATGGAAAAGAAAATGGAAAATGAAATGGAAACTGGGATTATATTGGGGGTTGTATATTGGGGTTATATATAGGGATAATGGAAAAGAAAATGGAAGCTACTATTTAGGGTTTAGGGTTTATAGTCCCCCTTAAGTAGAAATAGGGTTTAATTGGTTTAGGGTTTGGGGTTTGCGGGTATATTGGGATAATGGAAAATACAATGGAAACGACTATAAGACTATAGGGTATATGGGGGTTGTATTGGGATAATGGAAAACAGAATGGAAACGACTATAATACTATAGGGTATATTGGGGTTACATTGGGAGAATGGAAACAACATGGAAACTGCTATAATACTATAAGGTATATTGGGGTTACATTGGGATAATGGAAAACAAAATGGAGACTGCTACTTACGGTTCAGGGTTTAGGGTTATGTTGTGATACGAAGTGTCATTCTGCTTGTTGTTTAAAGCTAGTGAGTGGGCTTCAAAGGAACATTTTCATCGTCGCCAAATCCTGGGAATGTGGAGTGAACTGCAGTACATTGGAATTGCATTAAGGCACATTGCGGCGGGTTCTCACAATACAAACAGGTTATAGTATATCAAGATCGTGTTATGTCACATGATCAATTTTCGAATTGCGACACGTTATATCGTGTTATGCTCCATTCGACTCTACTATGCTCCATTGTCCACTGTTCCAACCTATTCTATCATGCTTTGTGATGTTCTAGTCTGTTATGTGGTCACTACATATATAGCCAGCACAAAAACAACCGTACGAACAGCGGTGGGCTTCTTCTCACCCTAAACCCCAAACCCTAAATCCTAAACCCAAAGCCCTCAACCCTGAACCTCGACGCTAAACCTAAACAATCTCAAAACCCTCAACACTCAACCCTAAACCCTAATCCCTAAACCCTAAACCCTAAAGCCACAACCCTAAACCCTAATCCCTAAACCCTAAACCCTAAAGCCACAACCCTAGACCCTAATCCCTAAACGCTAAACCCTAAACCCTAAAGCCACAAGCCCAAATAAACTCACCATTACTTAGGGTCCCCAATTTCCTTAATGTCAAAATTTTAAAGTTGTAAAAGTTCAAAACCAAAATGCCACCCCCCCAAACCCTAAGTAATGGTAACCCATAACCCTAAACCCTAACCCCTAACGCCACAACCCTAAACCCTAATCCCTAATCCCTAAACCCTAAACCCTAAAGCCACAACCCTAAACCCAAATCCCTAAACCTTAACCCCTAAAGCCACAACCCTAAACCCTAATCCCTAAACCCTAAACCCTAACCCCTAAAGCCACAACCCTAAACCCTAATCCCTAATCCCTAAACCCTAAACCCTAAAGGCACAACCCTAAACCCTAATCCCTAAACCGTAAACTCATGGCATAGGCCGCCCACCTTCGATGGTGCTTATCCCCCTCAACATCGATGGCGCAGGTCGATCCAGCACGCTCGCCTGCCATCCCACAGCCAGGGGTACTGCAGCACCCACGAGAGGCCAGGTACCTGGAAGAGCTCTCCTCGGGACCAGTACTGGTCCCTCAAAGGGGGGGGAAGCGGCTCACCCAAACAACTAAAGAACCGGACCGCCGCAGGCCTTGCAGGGGCTTCAGGGAGGCGTATTTGACTTCTGTACAGCGTCGTTGCGGGGCACTAGGCCCCAATGCTTCAAGGCCTTTCCTGAAAGGCCTTGCAGGCCTCCAGGCCTCCAAGGGCTTCCAAGGGCCTCCCAGAACCTCAGACCCTGCGCCTCAGGGCTGGAAAGCCTCCAATACCTTCCACTCCCGGAGCCTCCCAAAAAAAATCTTCAAAGACCTCCCACGAATTTCCCTTTCAGCTTTACTCATCAGCAACAGAAAGTTGCGACCACTTTCAGGCTCTCAGGACCTTCAGCGTACACAAATGAAAATGTGTTATTGTTGACCAAGATGGACCTAACTGAGTTTAGGTCCTAAACCCTAAAAGGTATAGGTTTGGGTGGTTTGC